AAAAAAAAAAAATATTCGATATTGTTTTTTAAAATATTTGTAAAATTTTTAAATAATTATTATTAAAAAAATCTAAAACTGTAAAATAATTTTAATTATTTTTGTTTTTTTTTTACTTAATTATACTTTGTTTTATACAAAAGTAAATATTTTCCAAACAAAAAATTTTTAAAAAATTTTAATCTTTATGCTTATATAATTATTTTCGAATAATAATTTTTTTAATTAACTTTAGACAATAGGATTTAAATAAAATACTTAAATTATAATTTAGTATAACCAGATTACTTCAAAATACTAATAATAATAAAACGGTATATTAATATGATTTTCAACTAAAATGTACTACATATTAAAATGTACTGCAATATAACAGATTTCACTAATACTATTATTGTAATCTAGATTATGTTAAATTTTGAACATTAGAATTCTTTTTTAATTACATTTACATAATTTGTAAACGAATTTGAAATATAAACTATACCTATAGTTTCAGAACAACTATAGTAAAGTAATAGATCAAAATAGACCATTTTAAATTGAAAAATTTTTATATATACCTATATAAAGAAATTTTTTTAAATATTTCAAAAAAAAAAAAATTAAAATTAGTTTAGAAACTAGTCAAATTAATCTATTAGTTAGATTTGTAATTGAACATCATTATTTTAAAACTTTTTTTTTTATTTAAATTTATTATCTATAACATATGTAGCCCTAAAACTGATCCAATTTACCAAAAATCAGCTTGTTTCTATATATATCTTAACTTAATTTAATAATGCCTGTTGAATCACGCAATTGTTCTCCAACATTCTATCTGTTTTTGACAAAATAATTAATATCCTATATATATATATATATATATATATATATATATATATATATATATATCCAACATATAGGCTAATCAAAATTTATTGCAAATCGACAGGTTTCTCACTACTTAAAATATAAAATATAAATTTCAAATAAACTCAAATCCATTAATCCATTTACCCAAATCTAACATCAATTTAATTTTCTCAATTACTTTACTATAATATATTATATAATTCGATTTTCATGAAACAATTTTCATTTTTTCAGAAATAGAAAGATCGTACCATACTAATTAATTAATGTTACTTTACCATTTTTCCGAATATGAAAATTGTTTTACACAAATCGAATTATGAGTATATAATAGTATGGACCCGAGATTTTCGGTTGAAAATATTCAAAGTATATTATATTCGAGTGAAAATATTTGAGCTAACTATATTCGATGTATACAATATAATATATTTAAAACAAATATTGTCTAAAGTTAATTTATAGTTTATACAAAAACAAAAATAATGCAGCATTTAATAAAAATAAAATTATTATATTATTTAAATTTAAAATTTTACATTCTAATTAATATATAAATTATTTGTGTTCTTTATAATTTAAAAAAAAAAAAAATTCTTAAAAATAAAAAATATTTTATTATGTACTGCCAATTTGTAGGTCAGAAAATGAATTAAAAAAAATATATATGTATACTTAAAAAAATTTTTCTAACTGTATGATTATAACAAGTAAATATTTTATTTTATTTTTTTTTTTTTATTCATATTTCAAATATCTTTGAATTTCACTAAAATTGTAATATTTTTAAATCTGAATTGAAAATTGAAGTTCTATATTTACAGCCTAATCGTATATCTTGCTTTTTTACTCACGCGCTTTATTTACTTTCTATTAGTTAGATTTGAAATAAGATTACTCATTTTGTCATTTGAATTTTTGGAATTTTTTCTCAAATTATCGAATAAACGTCTTAATTTGAATAACAAAGTAAATAAATTTTGTATACATTTTAGAAAAACACACTCAATACAGAATACACGTAATATACATTCCACAATACGGAATAATTTTTGTCACTCGAAAATTACATTATATAAATAAATAATAGTTACTCATTTCTTCTCACGTCCGAGTGAAATAGCGATATAGACGATCAGCTTCTTATATTTGTAGCAAATTCAAAATCTAAGCCAAAATTTTAGATTTAAAATATAATATTATTTTATTTATAAAACTCAGAGATATTTTTTATTATGAATAAAATTTTTAAAAAGAAAAACAAAATGTATATATAGCTACATAAAATATTTTTATAATTTTTTTTTTCCATGATCATCTACTATAATATTATAATTAAATAATATTTTTAAATTTATTGTATATATATTATGCATAATATAATATGTACCATTAAAATACATTTTAAAATAAATAAAAAAACAAACAACAAATTCAGGTTAATCCTATACAAATGAAACACATAAAAATTAAAAATATTTAAACAGATAACAATCAAATTTATACCTACAAAACTTAATATAATATAAAATATACAAATGTTAATATAATATACATATTATATATATATATATACATATATATATACTAAGAAATAATTAAAAGAAAATTTGCTAAAACACACATGTGTATATATAAAATATATATATATATTAATATATAAATATATATATATATAAATATATTATATATATTTTATATATATATATATTATGTATATATATATATATATATATTATAATACATAACATATATACATATATATATATATATATATATATAATATATATAATATAAATATATAATTAAGAAAAAACAAAGCCCATTTTAATTAAAAGATTGCTTTAGAATTTATTATGTAAAGTGTAATTTGTAATAAAAACATTTATTTGATTTTCTTGAAATATTTTATTTTTTGTATTACAATAAATATGTATAAGAAAATTTAATTTCAATAAAAATACGAACTACATATTCCCAAATAGCTCCTGTAACAATATTCCATTTATTAAATTTCCACATGGCATAGAATTTCTATGCTATAAATTTATAATAATAATTTTATTTTAAGAAAGATTTTTAAGAGAGTACGAACGTAATTAATTTTATGAGCAATTGAAAGACGGACGGTCTAATTGTTATTACTAATTATCTCATTTCATCATCAAAATTATCTCATAATTATCAAAATCTTCAGTAACCTCTTTATGACGTACAGTACACACAGTGTAAGTCTCGGTGTTAATATGGTAACAATTCAATTATATCACAAATATATTTCAAACTAGCTTGAATTGTATAATAATGGAATATCAGGAAACTTTAATATAAAATCTCTGTGCGGTAATGCGACATTATCAACCATGAAAAAATTTTTTGTTCATATACATACATATAAGTACCCTGATCTTTTTAATTTTCATATTTTACAGAAGAACTTTTAACGACATTTCGGCATGGTTTTATAAAACGTGATATTTATACATTTAAACTAAGACTATAACCTGAAACCCCTTAAACTTTCACGTCTACGTCTAGTGGAATATACTTTATCGTTTAGTATAATAATTCTACTTTAGGAGGCTGGATACATTTTGGATACATTTTTTTCTCGAAATTGGATACATTTTCTTTTTATTGAGTGGGAACACTGGATGAAACAGCGTTAAGATTCAATGATAGTTACCTTCATGATATGATAACCGTTTCTTTTTTTGTTTTTAATTAAATTTTCATCCAAATTTTGAAACAACACAGGAGGGTATGAAAAACCTTTTATTTGTGATTCCGGAAAAGCATTGAAGTCTCTAGTACCAATGAAATTTATTACATTATGAAGCCAATTGTGTTGGTTAACACTTGAGAAATTATTAAATTGGGTCTATTTGTTCTTGTATGTCAGATATGACTGATGTTATTGTCAAGCACAATATTACGCTTATTTCCTTTTAATAGTGTCACCAAATTTGTTTCTTTGAACGAAATATTTTAAGATATGTTACGAGTTTTGAATGCATGTCTGAATTTCCGAAAAATTTCAATTTTTTATAATTTAGAATAACCTCAGTTTTCATTTTTCGCAATATGAAGGAGAACGGTTTTTCTGATGGTAATTTTTTTTTTCTGATACATTTTGTTTAGTTTTGAATTTTTTAGTGTAAAAATAAATTAACAAATAATAAATTTTTATCAAGATATATTTCTACATAAATTTATTTAATTATTACATTTTGAACTTACACTTTGGATTCTCTTACGTTACTGTTTGTATAATTTTTAGCTTTATGAATTATAAAACGTAAGTTACATAATTATGAAAGTTAATTAAGTTATGAATTAAATTTAAAAATTTTATGAAAAATTTTAAAGAAAAATTTACAATAATTGTCATTTAATAAAAACGAAAAAAAAAAAAAGAAAATTCACATAATATTAAAATTGTGTTTAACGTATAAAAACAAAACTATACTTTCTCTTTTTTCGTTTAAAATTTTTTAAAATATGTATTTAAGGAATGTGATAGATTAATATTTCAAGTTCAAATATTTTGTTCTTTAATTTTTTTAGATAGTATTTAATTATTTAAATACATACATTGAAAAAGTTATATTTTAAAATTCATTTATTTTTTTCTTAGCTTTTGTTTTTTTTTTTTTTGAGACTCTATTAAATTATATGAAATAGACATTGTAGAAAAAATTAAAACTATTTTAAATTAAATTAATTTATATTATTATTGTTATTTTAAACAATAATTTGATTTAATCATATTTGATATGCCTATTTTGTCTGTTGTTATTAAATCCGCCATTATTGTTCATTCCACCATTGTTTCGGTTATGATCATTTCTAAAACCACCACCGTCACGGCCATTTCTATCATTAGAACGATTTCTATCATTGAAATTACCGCTATTAATTGAGCCTTTTTTCAATCCTGTACCATATCTGCGGAAGTTATTACTGAAATCTCCACCTCGCGTATTTCTAGCAAGATCTTCCAACGCAGGATTAATATCCTGAAAAATAAAAAAAAAATTTTTTATATTTCGAATTTTTTATGAAAAAAAAAAAAACAAATTAAATTCCTTAATTTCTTACTTGATTTGCTTCCCGTAATACTTGTAGTAATGCTCTCGTCTGTTTTGAATTATTTTTCGTAATGAATGTATATGATTTTCCGGTTTGTTCAGACCTTCCAGTTCTACCAATTCTATGTACATAATCCTCAGATGATTGTGGATAATCAAAGTTGACCACATGTTTTATACCATCGACATCTGTTTTTCGTTTTAGTGATTTTTTTTGTTTGTTTTTTTGATTTTTTTTTTATTGTGATTTAAGAAAAATCATTTTGTAGTATTTTTTTTTTTAAATTTAATACTAATTTTTAAATTAGTTGTACATACATAATATAACATATAGGTAAATATTATACTAAAAGCACTAATTTATATAAACCAGCAATCTTTTAATACTAACCATCCACTTTTAATATTGTTTTTATATATATATATATATACATATATATTTATATGCAGCAATAGTAGCATAACATTAAACAATCGTCTTTAAAAATGACATTTTTAACACTTTGAACGTCGTTCATTTCTTTATCTACGTTTTGCTGATGATGTGCTTGTTCATTTCCTTTTTAATGTGTCCTTTATAAGTTTTTGAGATTTATTCTAAATTAGATGTAAGATGTATGCTTAATTTAGGTCCAAAATTTTCTTTTTCATAACGCGTTCTATTATCACGTTTGTTTACCTCCATATTCAATTAAAAATATTAATTTAATTAAGTAGATCTAAATTTCCGATTTGATGTAAATTTTTCATTTTTTAGTTTCCATTCATTTAAATTCAAATGGATATCCCTTTTTTGATTACTTTAAATTATATATGTGGATTTTTTTTTCATGTTATATAATTTAAATAAATTTCTGATTTTAATGTGTACTACATACCGTTTTATTACAATTTAATGTAATGTTGGACCGTATAACATATCATCTTTATTTTGCTTATAAAATTTTATTTTCATTAAGTTGAGAGGATGCGATGTACAATTTTAATTAATTTACGTAATTTTTTTATTAAACTATATAGAAGAATCGAATTATCGACGTTATTTGAAATATTTGGCATCCTACTTTTTCAGGGTTCCATAAAGAACACACTAGTTGAGAAAACTGGTTACACATCTCAGTTCAAAAATAGGTGTTCGCTAAATTATACGAACTCCCAAAATATTTTTCAAAATCAATTCAGATCACTTAACGTCCTCGTTTAAAAATAGATTTTTAGAATTTTATTCCATTTCACGAAGACGCATATGCGATCAGATCCGATTTTATTTGTATTCTACCTGCATAACATTATGTGAGTTATAAAACTTGTCATTTTTGGTTGCGATCGCTTTGTTGTATCAATATGTATTTTGTTTTAATTATTATAATCAATAATTTCATCAGAGGCCCACTTGATGACAGATAGGGATATTGATAATACTCACGGCTCCCTTTTTATTTAGTTTCCTTGCAGTTTTCTATTTCATCCATATACCATGATATAATACTATCATAGACATCAAACTGTTATTAATCTGATAATAATCCATTATTGTATCGTCTCCAAATTACCGCTCAAATTATTTGAAGTCAAATGCAGAAACAAATTTCACAGTGATTATTCAACACATTTTGTAAAGCTGAAATATTTAATTTTATCCCCACCATTTTATCAATCGGCCTCTGTAATTTTTTATGAGCGAAGAATTGAATACTTGGGATGTTGAATTGAAGGGAATTAATGATAAGGAAAATTTCATAAATTCAGGTTTTAAGGAGAAAATAGAAAATAAGATTCTAGACTGATTAAAATGTTAAGTGTAATTAATTGCTTTAAAATTAAAGTTATATATTTTTTAACTGGATGCTACATAAAAATTTTCTAAAAATTGAATAGCTAAATAAAAAAAATAAATACAAGGTGGTATGCCTTTAGTTTGCTCATGAATTCCGAAAAATCATACTTGTAAAAATAATACGTTGGTTCAAAATAAATAGGTGTAGAAAAATCTAACCTGCATATCAATTAGTTTATATAGTAAAATTAAAAAATTTATATTATATTAAATTTCAATAAAATTGTATGAATTAAAATAAATATATATATAATGGAACTCAGTCTAGATACTCTCATTCAAAATACTTTTGCTACTACGCCGCTTAACTTTAAGTGAAAGTTTTGGATTCATATAATTAGTATATTCAAGTAACAAAAGTTTGTCTTACCCAGTCCTCTAGCAGCTACATCTGTAGCTACTAAAATGTTACAAACGCCAGAACGAAATTCTCTTAATACAAAATCACGTTCTGACTGTGATTTATCACCATGTATAGCTCCACATCGGACACCAAAACTTCTTATAAACTTTGCTAAACTATCAACACGACGTTTTGTTTCAACAAAAATTATAACTTTTCCTGGTTGCTCAGATTCGTCGTATATATTAGCCAACAAAGCTTTCAATCTAAGAATTAAAATTGCAAATGTATTATTCACACAAAATTATATCAACTCAATTCAAAATTACTTTTCTTGTTTATCATGTTCATGGCAAACATCAACATACTGTTTTATGTTGTGGTTTGCAGATAATTCCAATGAACCAATATTAATTTGGATGTAATCTCCTAAAAAGTCTTCTGCCAATTGTTGTACTTCACGTGGCCAAGTAGCGCTCCACATAAGAGTTTGACGATCTGGTCGAATTTGGTTTAAAATCTTACGAATTTGTGGTTCGAAACCCATATCAAGCATACGATCAGCTTCATCAAGTACTAAATATGTACAACGCCTCAAATTCGTTTTACCCTGTGATAAGAAGTCAATTAAACGACCCGGTGTTGCTATAACGATTTCAACTCCACGTTCCAAGTCCCGAGCTTGTCCACCACGTGGTGCTCCACCAAAAAGGCATGTGTTGCGAACATAGGTCGACGATCCAAAATCAGTAGCAACCTCCTTTATTTGTTGCGCTAATTCTCTAGTTGGAGCTAAAACTAATGCAATTGGGCCATCACCTCTTTTTAACGGTTTTTGACTGTTAATGTGAACAACAGCTGGCAATATATAACCAAGTGTTTTTCCCGAGCCAGTTTTAGCAATACCAACCAAATTGAAACCACTCATAGCGATTGGCCAAGATTGAGCTTGAATTGGTGTTGGTGCTTTAAAACCTTGACGTCTGATTTCATTTGAGCAATAATCTGGCATATCACATTCATCAAAATTTTCAATAGGATTTGGAGCTGCTCCTCTTACAGTAATTTCATTTTGTCTTCTGTATTTTTCAACTTCATACGGGGATCGATTTCTAACTCTTGGACGTTCCTTATAGAAATTCTTTTGGAATGGTTCCAAACTTTCATTGGACCAGTCAACTGACGGTAAGTCAGCATCACCACTACCCAATTGAAATTTTCCTTTTTTATTACCCATTCCATTTCCTCCTCCCCTACGATCTCCATTCACACGATTTTTTTCAATTCGACCAGATTTTACTCCACGTCCTTTATCTTTTCCCCCACCATTTCCGTTTCCTCCACGATTATTTTTAGACTCCCAATGTGGTGGCCTTAAATTAGTATGTAAATTAGTATTAAAGTCTTAGTACAATCAATTTATAATACCAAAAAAAGTTTGAATACAAATAAATTAATAGGCTTCCAAATATATAGCATACATTTTAGATCTAGAGAAATATAAAAACTTCATAATTTAAAAATGAAAGTGTGGTTACCTACGTCAGTATGCATATACAACATAATAGCAATATGTATATGTATAAAAATAAAGTTATGTTACTCAAGCGTGTGTGTATGTACCTAAATTATATGTACAGCAAATATATATAATTATGTGTATGCATACATGTATGTTCAAACCATACAAACATATGTAATTATATATCTATGTATGTGACTATATTTTTAAAGTATATATTACGACGCCATTTAATTTTTTAATTTAAAGAAAAAATTTACTTACATATTTTCTTCGTTTAAACTTGTTAAATACGAAACTTTATCGCCTTTTAACTTTTTAAAATTTAATAAGATACTTGAATATCTTTCTGATGACAATATCCTGTAGTTTTTACAAAAATTGTAATGGCCGACCACTAACTTTGGTTTAAGCAAATTTGTGCTGAAATTGCTTAATTTAAAAAATTTGGGTAAACTAGTTGTAATAATTTTAAACATTTTTAAATATTTTATTTTAATCTAGTAAAACTAAAAATATTTTTGAAATATTTTAAAAATATAAATATTTAAATGTCTTCTAAAAATAAAATAAATTGAAAAATGTGACTTCTTACCTAACTTTGGACGACGTAAAAGAAAAACTTTACTAATTTTTAAAAGAATGCTCGTAACATGAAAATTGTTGCCATATAATAATTTTTTTTAAGCATAAAGATTTCTGTATAAGTTAAATTTCAAATCAATGCCACTGCACGATTCGTTTACATAAACAAGCTATTATTAAGGAAGTTTGTGTAATGGTATTTAGTTTTAAGAAATGCCAAATTGCTAGTTGAAACGATGTAATTACAATTAATGGCAAGAAAGTTGCATGGTTTCACTAAAAAATAAAAATATTACTAAAAATTAAAAGCTTTCAAAAGTGCTAAACAATTGTAAGTACTCGTATTACACAAATATTCTTTCGAATAATTTGACTATGTAAATGGTCTGTCTAAAGCTCGTTTACTTTTTTTGGCAAAAAAGCTCGTTTAATTTTCTTCTTTTAAAATTGTTTGTAGTATTCTCAATTAATATTAGAAAATTGCGAAAACAAAACCATATAAAACATTTATTGCACTTTTCATATGAGCATAAGAAAATTACGGGCTCAAAATAATTCGATTATTTTAGAATAATAAGGCTTTTAAGGTGGTTTAGAAATAACTTAATGATATAAAATAATTCAATGAAAATTTGACAACTACTGTAGCAGTCCAAAATAAATAATTGTTGTTATTATTGTTCAAAGCGCTATGTTGAAAATGTAACAAATTGTACAAGTGGAAATTTGGAACAGCGATAAGTTGGCTTTTATTTTGGTTATAATTTTCTATTAATATCTATAATTTAAAGTAAATTCTGACCGTCATCAGATAGTTTCAATCTGATATTCAAATAGTCATTAGATTTTATTTTGGATTTTACCTTAGATTTTATTATATATGTAAACAGCACCTTAGAGGCAGATAAAATAGTAACTCTCAATATCAATTTTCTTCCATTTTACAAAAGTTCAAAAAATTCAAAAATATTAATAGTCAAAAAATACTTTTATTTAAAAAGAAAATTTAGAGAGACAAAATGTTGAAAATTCTCTTGAATTTTTTGTTTTCTTTTTTCATTCTTCCTTTCAAAAGTCGAAGCTTTCAAAGCAAACAAAGTAGAATGGCGAATAATTTGTGCGCAGAGCATTCCGCTTTAAAACGTGTGTATGCGTAATGCGAATAATGCGATGCTAGAACGCGCATTCATTCACGATCGTTTCTGAATTTTTTTTTATACTTAGTATTCTTTTTGAAAAACTGAACCGTACCTATCGAATTTAAAAAACGAAAAAAAAGATAAAAACAAAGAAAAAGAAGATGCTGAAAAGAAAAATAAAAAAATACGATGTGCAGAGTGCAATGCAACTTGCAATTGTTTGGTTGTATTGGAAATTGGAATCGGCTGTCGGTATCGATATCGATAATAATTTTGCAAATTTATGTTTCGTTTTAAGCGCATTAAAAGATTAAAATATCTGAAACAAATAAGCAATTACTAACAATCAATACAGTATATCAAATATTGCTTCGCTTCGGGGTAAAAATTTTAATGTAATTTTATTTATATCAATGCTTTTCATTTAGAGCAAAAAATGGTAAAAAACAGAACGTTGGTGCTAATTATATTTAATTTTCTGGTTGTGGTTAATATGAGCCTTCAAGTTGTTAATGAAAAAGTTTACAAGAACTTAGAAGGTAGGTACCTATATGGTATGTCTTAAAACATAATAATTAATATTAATTTTTGTTGGCAGTTAATTTGTCTGATTTTTAATATTTCTATATTAATTATACTATATATATATATGCATACATAGTATACAATGTACATATGTGTATTATTGAATATTATGCCTTCTTATCTATTTTATGTTTTTTTAGGAAACAAATCCCAAATAGTTATAAATATAACCGGTGTAGAAAATATATTTTTTGAAACATATACAATTAAAAATCTGGAAACCGTGGTAGTTAACTTGAATATTAAAAAAGCTGAAAATTTTGGCTATGCTATTTTCCAAGTTCATTCGTATGCGTACAACATAAAACTTATAAAATTGCAGAAATTACAACTTGGTCAAAATTTGGGGATTGTGGCATTTGAAAGTCAACTCTTCTACATTCAAAACCCGAATAAGTTTGACATTGATTACGCTATAGCTGTAACCACATATAATTCCAGTTCACCTGTTTCTGGTGGCTGCAATATAGAAGGAGAAATATCGGAATCACCAATTTTAAAATTAACATCACTTAAAGATATAATTCAAGTTGATACTCCATCGGCAGCAATGTCAATTAAAAAAGATCCTAAGCAAAAATTATGCTCAAATACATCGGAACCAAGTGCTGCTTTAAGTTATACTGGATATTATTATTACCTACCGAAAGGTGATTTTACAAATAAAACTTATTTTAATGGTATAAAAAGATTTTTGTTACCATCTAATATAACCAAAGTAGCATTTAGAGTGAGTATAATTTTGACAATATCTATTTTGTTACAAATTAAATTTTTTTCCAAATTAAAATTATTTAAGGCTTTTAAGAAAAGTAACAAAGGTCCAGCAAATCGTAGAATATACATGCAAGTTCCTGGTACTGGTATGGTTTTTAATACAATAGTTCGCGATTCAGATGGTACTCCGGCTGCATATGTACCAGCAGTTACATATTTTTGCAATCCTTTTCTATGGGAGGAAGGATGTTTCTTTATTTGTAAGCTAAATTATCAGTTTTATAATGCAGCAATTAAATATATTGAAAAATAACTTCTTTATTTTTCAAGTTAACGATAATGCTTTAAAAGTGTTGTCATCAATTTTACTTGTCGTTGGATTTGTTAAAACCTTCTTAAGTTTTGAGACTGTCACAATGTTTATTGATGCAGTGGTAAATTTATTTTCTCTCGGGGCTTTTTACACTTATAAATTAATCGCAAACTATGATCTTTCAATAGGTTAAAATTATATATATATATATATATATATATATATATATATGTACATATTTTTAAGAATTACAGAACTTTTTAAATTAACTAATATTTTTAGAAGCGAAAATTGCACTTGTCATTACTGGCGGAATTGCTCTTACTTTAATATTTGTTACAATTTCTTCTTTCTGGTTTCAAATAACTTATATTTTATATCCTGCATCAATGATTCTATTTAGTTTGATTTTTACTATAAACGCAGTTTATATATTCGGTAAGTAAATGAGTAAAATAAATTTTTATATTTTTACACATGTGAACATTTAGAGGGGAATGCAATTGAAAGTAATACAACTTTATACTGGATAATATTTTTATTTGCCTTGTCTTCCTGTCTTTTCATGATGATTCCATTACTTCGAGTTTTATGGTTAATTTTAAACGTTATTATTGGCGGATATTTTATGTTAGTAGGCGTTCAATTTCTGTCCAAAAGCAATTTGATTTATATACCGTTGAAACATTTTTATCAAATGGGAAATACTGATAGTAAATATATAAATGGATATCCGCCTTCTACTAAAACTGGTAAAATTAATGAATTTTTTAATTTGATTATTATGTTAAAAAAAATTTATATTTCAGATATTTATATTATAGTACTTATAGTAGGTGCTATATTTTTGGGTTTCATATTAAGACAGAATAAAATACATATTTTCGAAAGGAGACGAGGGTTAACTGAGGAAGAAGAACCACTGTTGAGAGGTCATGATGAGAGGTCATCTATGATTGGTAGTGATGAAGTTTTTGAATCGCCAAAACCGAATATATCAAATATTCGATTATAAAATCCTAAAATTGTATAACATATAGTTTCTACGAAAAAAAATTGTATTTTCTTTTTAAATAAAACAAGTCAGTTAATTAAAAATAAAATATGTATATATATCTTTTAATTTTTTATATACTCAGTCTGAATGTAATATAGCAACCCAATATTAATGTGATGACTTTTTATCTAATGTAAAATTTTTTGTATGAATATTCAAAAATTTTTGGGCTAACAAGGCTACGGCAGCATTTGGATTTCCACTGGGTAGATTCGGCATTATTGAAGCATCAACTATGAAAAGTCCTTCTATATTATTTACTTTAAAATCATAATCAACAACACTTGAACTATCGTACCCCATTTTACATGTTCCAATAGGATGATAAATACCAAAACTCATTTGTTTTAAATAACATTTCCAATAAGTATCTTCATTTGTGTGGTTTTGGCAACCAGGAAATTTTTCTTCAATATATTTTAAATTTACATTTGCCTTTTGAATTTCCAAGATTGATTTCCGCATTAATTGAAGTCCGTTAAGTAAATCTATAAAATCTGTTTCTTCCGTTAAATATTGAGGATCTATTGAAGGTACATATTTTGAATTTATTTTACTTAATTTTACCCAGCCCTTACTTTTTGGATGGAGTAAAATAGGAATAATCGAAACTGTTTGAATATTTGATAATTTTTTAAAGTAATTATTCCATACTGAATCTCTAATATTCATAGCATGTCTTAATTTTACCCCGTTGTCTGAAGTAACATCAACTGGCATAAACATATATCCTATTTTTTTATCATCAGAAAAACCTAAAAGTTCACATCCTGTTGTTGTAAGGGGTCCATTGCCTGAATTAAAAGGATGTATAAAATGATAAATGCTTTGTGGCTTTAACAGGCTTATAACATTCATGTTTAATGATTCATTAAACTGAAATAAACTCATTCCAGTAGCAACATGATCTTGCAAATTTTTTCCAACCGATGGTAAGTCTTTTAAGCATTTTATATTAAGCTCTTTTAGTTCTCTACATGAACCTATGCCAGATTTAAGCAAAATTATGGGTGATCCGATTGTTCCAGCACTTAATATTACTGCTTTTCTTGCCGCTACCTTGTATTTTTTTTTATTTTTTTCAAATTCTATTCCACTTACCCGAAGGTTATTATTATTTATGTCGAAATTTAATTTTTGAACCATTGCTTTAGCAATGAATTTTGTATTGAAATTAGATTTTTCCTTAGCATAAGTGTATGTAGTATATCTTTTCCCTGTTTTTTGAAGGACATAAGGTTGAAAAAAATTTATCTCCATCGAATTACTTAAATTTGCCAATAGTCTACCTAACTTTGTAACGTATCTTAATGGTTGGGGTTTGAGTTCCAATTCTAAATTACTAAAATATTACAGATTTAAAAAGGTTTTTAACAAAATTGTAAACTTACAAAAACAAAGGTTCTATTTCTTTTTTATAATTATATTCAGTTGAATTACTAAACCATCCATGGTAATCTACATCTATTCCACGATGCCATATCATATTGTTAATCAAACTTGATCCACCAAAACCTTTTCCAACTGGATATTTACACTGATTATTTTCCATTATTCCGCAAGATTTCAATTGTGGTTCAGTTTTAAATTGCCAATCGTATTGTGACCCATGGAACAATGGCGTCAAAGCAGGTACATTATGAAATATAGATGGGTATGGTCCTGCTTCTAGTACAAGAACAGTGCAATTCAAATATCTTGATAAATTAGCTGCAATTAAACTACCGGCAGTTCCCGCGCCGACTAAACTTTAAATTTTTAAAAAAATTTAGAAATCAGAAACTGTTGAATATTTTACAAATGTTTACCAATAATGTAATCATAAGATGTAATTTCCGCCCGCGGCTCAACAAATGCATAAATAATATCATATAAACATTCTTCCAGAATTAGAAACAGCTCAAATATTACAATGCCTAAACTTATAAAAAACTCAGGAGCAATATAAAATATTGTTCCTAATGTTATTAATATCCAAAGAGATCGTTGCATATCTTTTAAATTTGTAAAGGTAGAAATTAAAGATACAAATACCACTTGATAACATTTAATAAAAATTTATGTTTTTGTTTTCAATATGGATATTGTAAACAATTAAATGACATTTCTATATGTTTATTGTGAATGTTCTATGAATTCCTTAATCTTATTGTGAAAATATATTTTTTATGTTGACACTTTAAAGTATAATCGAGAAAATAATATAAACTAATGTACTAAATATTTCTCTGAATTCTTTAAATTTTTCAAAAGCTTTGCAGTATTTTAATTAATTAAAATTTTAATATGAATATTAAAATATTAAATATGAAATGAAATAAGCAGCGAAATTTTTATCACAAACAAAATACGTGTCATAATATGAATAAACTGTCATAATATATTTCCAGGATGTTATTAATAATAACAATACATCCGCATTTAGAGTAACTGTATTCAAATGGCTAAAAATTTTCTATTGAGACAAGTAAGATTGATCTTTAAATTTTATAAGCTGTTCACATTACTGTGACACTTCTACAGTAACAATCGCACGAAATGTCAGAATATTATTTAACCCTTTGATTTAAGTAAACCAAATTATATTTCCCTATTTATTGGCAAATTAAATATTTGTCGCTGCAATATGCGATGACAATTAGATGATAGACATCGTTTTTAACTTGAAAATAAAAATTGCGAGAAAAACTATCATTATATTATAATTTCAAAAGATAAATAAAAAAAAAAAAAACATAAATAAAACATAAATAACAATTTAAATAAATATAAATTTTTTTAAATTAAACTTTGTTTTTGTTCTAACTATAATAATTCCAAATTAAAAATTTTAAAACAATTGAGGTGGATATCTAATAATTTTAATTCAAATATTGCAACTGTCAAATTAAACAACAAATTGACAGTTTAAAGAAATCTTCAGAAAAGAAATTAAGTACTTTTTTTTTTGTGCGACAATTAAATTGTGTCAGAAAATTTAACAGTTATGATATACACATAGCCTAATAAATTACAAAGCTTGTCAGATAATTTTGATATTGAAAAATGTGACGTCATCAAGAAGAAATTTATTCAGTGGAAAAAAAATTTGGTATTAGATCAGTGGAAAAAATAATTGATTTCGAAATTACGTGGATCCTTCGGATGTTGTATCCAACGCCTTGTGGACTGACGTTAAATAAACATAGAAATAACATAGGATATGGTTATAGTTAAAAAAACATAGAATATAGTTTAATATCAGAGCTCAGATTGGTCACGTTGATATTTGAATACCTATAGATTATTGTTGGAAATATGCGATATGTATTTATAAGAGAATGGTTTCACAAAGAAGGGTAATTTTAAATATGATATGCAAAGTATATACAACCAAACATAGTTAAATACATTATTTGTATATGTACTTTAACGTTATTAATTGGTTTCAGGAAATAAAAACCATTCAAATATCAAAACTTAGAAAAAAAATTAAATATAAAATTTATTAAAAAATAAAATAAAAATTAATATGCATAATAAGCTTACGATAACAGATCTTTTTATTTTTCAATAACTAATAACACATTTCTTAGTTTCAAATTATATTCAAATACTTTCAGTCAATTTATTGAATTCTCATTTGCCAAAATTTAAGTATTATGTACTTTCCTACCTACTTATATGTATTATTATGTATAATATTATATAAATGTTGTTTATTTATAATATTGTAATACGAGTATATATGTATAATATAACATGTTATTTAATTTTACTAAAATAAAAGGCATCATCATTTTAAATGTATAATACAAAAATATAACAAAATCCTTTTGATAAAATATCACAACTAGCTACATACGTATGTCAATACAATGTATGAATATACTTACGTATAGTAAACATTATGTGCATATGTAAGTGTGTGTTTGCTGATTAGATTATTTTACCTTTAATTTGTTTTTATTTGATTTGATTTCACATTGTTACTCGTATAATACAAACATACACTCATGTACTTCTATAATATTACGCTGATGATTATATTCAAATACATCGATTAGTTATCAATATTATGTCACCAAACATTATATTACAAATTGTTTATAATCTTATATCCTTTTGCTTTTATTTTGATTGCAAATAATTTACATATATATATATATATGTAATTTTAAATATGATATGCAAAGTATATACAACCAAACATAGTTAAATATATATATATATATATGGGGGCATATATACGGATTAAAATAAAATATAAGGATATTGTAATTATACTTTTACCAATAATGTACTTGAAAAAAAAATTGGAATTTAAATTTACCATATTAAATTATACGAAGGATATCCATAAGAGATAATTATAATAAAACCGAAATAAAAAAACTTTAACATAATATAGGTAAAGTACTTTACATTTAGGTATAATAAGATTTCGAATGTATATCTATGTACGAGTACATGATAAGTGTTGAGTAAATATATAGAAAATTTTGAAATGTTTTCAAACTAATTATTTGTCTGTCTATCACTGTCCGCGTTACTTTAACATAAAAAAAATTACTAAATTTATAAGCATATAGGCATATAAGACTTAATTTCTTTATTGAGCGATTTTAATTGACAATCGTTTTGAATAGATTAGGACTTAGCGAAAAGCCCATTTTTCGTTGTGTTGAAAAGTTGGTTTATGTATAATCTTTTAAGTGACGACGACAACGTATACAATAAATTTTATAGTGGTACGCATTATTTTTTTTGAATAGATAATGAAGATAGTAGGTATATATTTGTAATATATCAGAATTTATGTGTGTGTGTAACGAAAATTCGGCGAATTTGAATGGAAATCATATTTTGATATTATCACGAAAATATTATTGACTCATGTCACTTAAAATAGTCGAATAATGAAATCCAGTCGGGTCAGAACTGACTATAAAATTATTTAATACAATTAAAATATAATATAAAAATTGAAGACTGTCAGTCTGTCTGTTTGACCAATCTGTCTGTCTGTCGGCCTGTCTGTCAGTCTATCTGTGTAGATCAGTATTTCAAGTTGAGCTAAAGCGATTTTGATGGAATTTTATATAAGACTTTACATGGAGCGTGAGACGGGAACTTTCGGGCGTTCTTTGAATTTGAAAATTTAAAAGAACTGTCTTAAAAGCATTTTAATAATCTTGTACAACATTTTTTTTGCTATACTAGGCAATACAAATTGCAATCGGTTATGTGCTGACTATATCAGAATTTTTTTTACTTATAATATACTGTTAAAATAACAAAATTTTTACTGTTATTCTAAAGTTGACGAAAATTTTGCTTTTTAAAATTCAATTTTTTTTTAAATAATATTGGAAAAAAAGAAAGGATAAATATATTTGTATACGATTTCGCGCCATAAAATAAAAATGTTTTTTTTTTTTTTTTTTTTACACAATTTAGTAATATTAAAAGCTAAAAAGGATATATGCAAGATAATTAATTAGAAAAAATTTATATTGTATTTTTTTTTGTGTTTTTCTTATTGTTGTTTTTATTTTTAGATAACATTATGTAGTAACATCATTACAAGGGATTTTAGGTTGTTTTATTTTTTGTTGCTACTTGTATTATACATATAGATGCTATGACTGTGCTGTTGTTAATATTGTAAGAGTAGATAATTTGACAATAAAATAAATAAAAGTGAAAACAAAATGTTAAAAGGTATTATAGGATAAAAAATAAAAGGATAATAAAAGTAACAAAAAAAAAATAAAGAGAATAATAAAAGTAACTATATTTGATTTAAATATGAAAAATAAAAAAAAGGAATGTGAAATTTTGTACAATTTTCCTTTTTTTTATTTATTGAATATTATAGGTATTGATTATGTATATAAATGTATATATATATATATATATATATATATATATATACATATATATATATAGGTGTATAAAGTAATTAAGTTATAATAATATTTTTACTTATTTAATATGGTATAAAAATTTTTTTCAATTAATAGAATATTTATAATAAATGAATTGGAATTTGAAAAAAATCTCAAAAAAAATCAAAAATTCTGATTTTAGCGAGCTTTATCTCAAAAGCTATATGGCTCAAATCAAATTGATTAAGAGAACGAAAATAAAGAGCAATCAAACGCCTATGAAATAAGCCACCGATATTAGCACTATGTCTCATGGTTCCAAAGTTATAAGCATTTATTTATATTCAGGGAAAATCTAGTACCTTATTTCTGTAAGGCTGCTGTCTGTATATACTAAAAGGATAATATAATTTTATTCAAGATCAATTTGAAATTTCACTAGTTTAAGACAACAAACATTAAAATTAAATTATATTTAAATTAGAAATAGTATATCTGATCTAACCTAACTTTATACCGGACTTTTGAATTTTTTTTAGATTATACTTATAACTAAGATTATACACCTGTTTTAATTCTTAAAACTGGTCAAATAATTAATTTAAAGAGGCAAATAGCCGGGCGGCTTTCGTTCGTGTTCAGTAGGCAGTTCTTGTTTGATTTTTGTATCTTTATGCTTTTATGGACTTCTTTCTTGTGTTTTCTTTTCATCCTTTTAAAAATTCAAGTTGAATTCTGTAATTATGTGATCCTTATTGTAAATATGTTTTGCAATTATTAAATCGCATTTCCTGTTAATTTTTACTCTCCTTGCACGTTTTATTTCACTTAAATGTTCCTTAAGCCTTATTATGACTATTTTTTTGTTTTTTCCTAACCATGAGTTTGTTAATACGTGAATAACCGTTCTTCACAGCCGTGTCCAATATGAAATTTACTACTGCTTTAAAGTCCTGTTTATCCATCGGAGTGGTTAGCATTGTGTGGATCATAGAGTTGAACGCCGTGATTTTATGTTTCATTGAATTGTACGGGCTCTTTGGGATGCATTTTTTGTGTGATTGTTTTCCGCCTGTATATTATAGTGAATCCGACTTTCTTTTCACAAAAATATCTAAAAAA